GGTAGGCAGCCAACAGATGCACGGCATTAAAAAATGAGACTTTCAGTAAGTAGAAGATCCATTCATTAATCAAACGCAGATGCCCCGCTGAGTGTGTGTGTGGGTCTCCCTCACAGATTGAGCTCATATAACATGATGCTGTTCACTTTTCTTGACGCAGGAAACACTCTTAACTACGAGTAGATCAAAATATATCTACAACTCTACACAGTGTCTCCTTCACTAAGAGAAGTCGTTCATTTCAGAGTTGGAGTATCAGTTTAAGACTGGCATTTATGAGAATTTTAGAAGTGTAATGTGCTTTATGAATTATCTCTGTGATTATTAAAGTAAAACACTGCAGGTTAATGGGGTAATAAATGAATTAACTAGTCGTTTTCACCATACTTTCCAAGTTCATTGATTACATTTAGACATGCAAACATGTATAGACCATTTCGAGGGATGTAAACAAAAACAATAGTCCCAACGTATTATCTGTTTTGCATTTTTAATGTCTATAGCTTCCGGGAATCCAAAAAGAGCCACATATTGATCAATAATGTTATGATAGCTGTTTTAACTTTAAGTTATGATTGAATTGCCTCTTGTTACAGTTATGAAATGGTTTGACAACAGGCAGGAACTGTTCATGGGCCAATGACTTCACCACATTGAAATTGTCTATTTTTTCTGTATTTCAGGATTACTGAAAGTTTGTTTAAATATGCAAATGAGACATTCTATTAAATGTGCTAATTAGCATTTTTTCACAAAGGACAGATTTAAAGTTCTTTTTGACACAGTTGAAGAGAGCTATATTAGCCCTTCTGTGAAATGTTCATTCATTAATTTTGCTTTTGGCTTAATTCATCTGGGGTCACCACAGCATAATGAACCACCAACTTAACCTGCATATGTTTAATGCAGCAGATGCCCTTCCAGCTGCAACCCAGCACTGGGAAATATCCATCCACACACACACTATGGCCAATATAGCTTACCCAATTCACCTATACAGCATGTCTTTGGACTTGTCGGGGAAACCGGACCACAAGGAGGAAACCCACGTCAACATGGGGAGAACATGCAAACTCCATACAGAAATGCCAACTGACCCAGCCGAGACTCAAATCAGCACCCTTTTTATTGAGGCGACAGTGCTAACCACTGAGCCACCATGCCGCCCAAATTAAAAATGTCATATATAAAATGACCATCACTTTAGAGAATGTCATGTGATTTAATCTCCGTAATAAAATGTTTCATTTTAGACCCATGTATCATTAATTTTTCATTGTTTTCCTGCTGCGTGCTGTACTGTACCCTGTAAAATGCAATAATTTGACTTAAAAACAAATAACCTATTGCTTTTCAAGATTTGCAGATTCCTTCTGTTTGACATACAGTTGAAGGCATAGTTGATTAGCCCTCTGGTGAAATATTTCTTTCTTCAAATATTTCCGAAGTGAGAATTTTTCCCAACACATTTAAAACACTTTACAATTTCACGGGAGGGTTAAAATTGTATTTTTTCAACTGTATTAGAGTTATTAGGTTTTGGGAATATCTGTTTGTCACTCCATAATTCAGAAAATACTGTAAAGTGTGAATAGCCTGGAAAAAAAGATTAATGATTGTGAATTGTAGCTCTTGCCTACAAACATTGAATTCTTTTAAACTGGAGTATCCCATAATTATTGATTATTTTTAAACTATAGAGAAAGTTTTATAATAAAGTTTTCTGCTGGATCCTAGGACATGCTGGATTATTTGAAAGTGAAGAAGCCGCCAAAACAGCCCTTACAGGACAGATAAAGGCAAAATCCCACCTTCAGATCTAAAGCCACTAACAAAAGGCTGTAATCTAAACAAATGGCAAATAGAATGGGATCAGTGTTTAGGAAAATAAACAATTTGAAATTCAGCAAGAAATAGGAAGAAAATCTCATTTATTTTTTAACTAGATGAGATTGTTTAAAGAAGATGGCGCATTGGATACACAAGAACGTTTACTTAAAGGAGCAGAACCTCCAAAATGTTAGTATTGCAAAAGAAACCAAACTGTTAAACATATTCTTGTGGAATGCCCTATTTTTAATGTTATCAGACAACATTTTTTAACTGGAGAGACTTTAAATGAAATATTTTTAAATGTGAATCCTTCTAAAATTGTACAATTTTTATCAAAAGTAAACAAAAACTGTTTAAAACTTTTATCTTCTATATTATCGTTATTAATATTTATGTATTTTACATTGTGTATTATTTATTGCTGTTGGTGAATTTTAGTTTTTTTCAACTATAGAAAAGTGGTATTTATAAAATAAACTTGATCTGTTTTTTTGTCATGACATAGCCCAGGGGTTACCAATCTGAGGGCTGGTGTTCGTGCAGGGTTTTGCTCCAACTTGCCCCAACACACGTGCCTGGATGTTTGAAGTATACCTAGTAAGACCTTGATTAGCTTGTTAAGGTGTGTTTGATTAGGGTTGGAGCTAAAATCTGCAGGACACCGGCCCTCCAAGAACAGGTTTGGTGAACCTTGACATAGCCAAAGAAGCTGGAAGGTCAATAAACTCAAAATTCTCTCTCTTACAGATTGTAGCATAAAATATTGCATATAAACAGTCAAATTTTGTGTTATATTCCTCTTTGTATTGATATATATATTTTCTTTCAATAAGAGCTGCTGATATGAAGAATTGTGGCTCATTGCAGGAGAAAAAAAAAGTAATTTTGAGAAAACCACCTTAAAAATTGTAATAAAAATCAATCACAAATTGATAAAGTGCAGCAAAAGAATAATACGGCAGGCTGAAAAAGCACTTTCAAATTTCAATATTGGTACATGCTGGAAGAAAAACCTCAATAACAACAAAAAATGTGGGCTTTTGCATTTGTTTTGCCGTATTTTTATTAAATTATTTTGGTACAGTGGTTGAACCACATCTGAATTTTCATTGCCAATTTTAGCCAATCGTATTCATTTGTTTTGGGTCAGTTTTGAATCCCCAATCAGCGCACAACCTTAGGGAAAAGAGATTAAATATACATCTTCATAACAGGAGAAGTGATTTTAATACATATCACAGTCGAAACATCAATTTAAGACTGTTTGTGGTCTGCTGTGGGATTGAGGAAGTTTAATAGAACATTAGCAGGATAATCTACTGTATGAATGATCTCTGTGTTTATTAAGCAAGGCACTAATGACTGGCTGGTTAAAGAGTTCTCATTTGGCGGTGGTGGGAGATTCAATGTCCTTGTTTTTTTCTGTGAAACTAGAGCTGCAGTCATTTGATAAACTTCCTATTTGAGCATTTCCATATCAATGAAGTCAGCAGATGTCACACTAACACTGATCTATCCATTCAGCATGCTCACTCAGCAAAGCCGAGAAACACACTGCCTGCATGCAGTATGTGGGGGTGTCAGGGTTTCAGCATCCTCTGTACATTATACAGTTCAAATAACGTATTGGGGTCATGTTTAGAGATAAATAATGTTAGTTCAGCTTTAATACAATCAATATACTTTGGAAAGTCATCATTGTATTATACAATTTATTGTTAATTTTTTTTTTTAACAAGACAAAATACCAAAGTATACAATACAACATAGGAACATTTTTTCTTATTTTCCCACTATCCTCTAAAAATAAAATAAATTAAATGTATGAATTATAAACAAACATATCCTCTGAAGAAAATAATAATAATAATAAATAAAAAATTAAATTAAAATTAAAAGAAATTCTTTAAAAAAATGATAATAAATAAGGAAGATTCTGATAAGAGCAAAAAAAAAAAAAAGAAAAAAAAATATATATTGAAAAGTTCACATTTAGGAGTCACTATTTCCTCTTTCCAATTATTTACTGTGTATTAGATCAGTAATTTGATTAGATTAGTAATTTGTTAGCCACAGTAAACTACATTTTAACTAAATAAGAATTAAGAAATGGAATATACCTGATTTTTTATCACAACAACACCAGCAGTCAACTTTTTTTATTTTTTAAAGAAAGTTAATCTGTTCATCAAAGCAGAATTTATTAAAAAAATATGATTAAATTTAGATTTTTTTTATAGTGTACTGTACACAATCTCAATTTGATTAGTAAAATGCATTGCTGTACTCTACATTTGAAGATATCAAAATGCAATTTTCTCAGTGTTTAGATTTATTTGAACCCTTAGATTCAAGATGTTCAAGTAGTTGTATCTCAGTCAAATATTGTCCTAATACAACAAAGTATACATCAGTGAAAGGCTTATTGTATAATAGATATATATTTAGACAGTTGTGATAAACCTTTAAATTGCAATTATTATTTAAAAAATTGAGAGATGTCTTAATTCTTAATCCCCCCCCCCCCAAAAAAAAAAAAAAAAACAACAACTAAGATTTGTGTTTTTTCAACTCATTTTAAGTACATAGTTTAAAGATAAAGCAAAAACAAATCTACCTAATAAGTCTATTGGAATGCCTAAATGTGCAAACTTATATTAGATTTACAAATGAACCTTGCCACTGATGATTACTGTCAAAGTAAAACATGACAGAATATGCTAGTGCATTCATTGAGTTTACTATTTTTTTTTTGTAAGGTAACGTTGTAAACTATTTATATTAGCTGAATTTAAACAAATTAAGTTGAACATTACTAAATTTAATGAGTTTAAATTCAGCCCATATAAATAGTTTGCAACCAGTTACCTTACAAACTCAATGAATGTTATCAGTGTGTTACAAAGATTTTAGTTTAGATTTTAAACATCACTTATATTTTTCAGAGCGCTTCTCGGCTGTGTTTATTCAGAAGGTGGCGCAAATGTAAACTTTATAAGTGTTAAGAGCTTACTAGAAGAACTGAATGTACTCTCGAGGCTCCTGTCAAACGCTGCTAACCAACAGGGGGCGTCGTTTCCTTTGATAGGTGAGCGCAGAGCTCCGCTGGATTGGCCGGCTCACGTTATGAGCCACGCCTCCTCCGGAGAGGGGCGGGAGCCGCGCGCAGATCCCACGTGTGACGCTAGCGCTCCCGGTTCGGTAATATTCCTTGAGCTGGGGCTGCAGTGCCCGTGTGTGTGTGTATGCATGTGTTTGGAGTTGGTTGGGCTTTGAGCAATGGAAGCGGACGCGAGTCAAGTCACCTCTGGAAGCCTGAACGATTCGCAACACGACCCGGGGTAAGAAGACAGGACGAGTTTGTGTTTGGAGTTTGATTGTGTCCGTGCTCGCGCAGTTCTGCTGATGTTTTTGATTGACAGGTCATTTCTAACGGTTCCTTTCAGCTCCGGTTGCTCGTAGGTCGCTGCTTAAACGAGCCGTTTACGCGGATAATGGCCGTTTTGACATCTGGAGTCACTTATTCCTTGTTTTCTCTTTACAGTAAAATGTTTATCGGTGGACTCAGCTGGCAAACCTCACCAGGTAAGGACATTTCCTTGTGTTTCAGAGTTGTTTCGCGTCGTAATTCTCTGTCGGACGCGATGAGACTGCGTGCGTGTGTGTTGTGATTGTGTCGCTGCGCACAAGGTTATTGTGATTTCTAGTCATCTGACACTAAAAGCGAGCGACGCGACAAAACTTGAACGCTCTCATTATAATCAACGAAGTGTGAAGCCCGCGACCTTCGCTGATTATAACGACAGCTCCGCAGGCTTCATCGCGTCGCTCACTTGCGGTGTAGACACACGCTCTAATAACCCTCTTGTGTCCTTGTGTTTTGTTCAGACAGCCTTAGAGACTATTTCTGCAAATTCGGGGAGATCAGAGAATGTATGGTGATGCGCGACCCCACCACCAAACGCTCCAGGTAAACACACGTGCTTCAGTTTTTTTGTCCTCCCTGTTCCGCTGTCATATGTTAAGAGCAGATGTAGAAGAGCACGACCGAAAGCTGATTCATAATGCTATTTGACATTGAGTTGACACATTAAGGCTATACAGAGAGAAAGCGATTGCCCAAATTATAGACAAAGTATATTGTGTTGTATGTTTTTTAATATAACGTGTCCCTGGAGCACAAAACCTGTTTTATTTTGCACATATGTTGGTAAAAATAGCTGAAAATACAGTATTTAAGCTTAAAATCAAATCATTGTAATATGAATTAAAGATAATGTTTCATTAATACTGTGCAATTTTCTTACTGTAAATATATCAAAACTCAATTTTATTAGTGGGATGAACCCTTCTTTTGGAAAATGTTAAGCATCATCTTCTCAGTATTTAGATTTTTTTGAACCCTCAGATTCAATAGGAGTTCAGATGCAAAAACCTCTAAATGCCATCTGGAATTTTCTTCTAAAATTAGTATTTTTCACCAGCTCCTGTATGCTCTGTAAATCCACATTTATGGCAAAAATATGTTCTTTGCATTGACTTTCAAGTGAAATAATAGCACAAAAATATTGGAGGCTGAAAAAAAGGCTAATTTTAGAAGAAAATTTCATATGGCCCCTTAGAGGTTTTTGCATTTGAACTCTTCATATATTCAAGTAGTTGTATCTTAGCCAAATATTGTCCTAATCCAACATCCCTATCTCAAGCAGACGTCAGTGGAAAGCTTATTTCTTTCACTTTTCAGATAATGCATAAATGTTAATTTCCCAAATTTGACTGGTTTTGTGGTTCAGGGTCTCACACCTGTCTGTCTGTCTGTCTGTCTGTCTGTCTGTCTGTCTAGGTATGTTTTTGGATAGGATGTTAATTTTGAGGATGTTAATTAAAATAATATTATGAGAACATTTTCTTTTAAATGAAATATTACATTTTAAAGTATTATCCTATTCAGAAAATGAGAAAGTTGTTAGAATAGCAAATGTTCACCATATATACGTTTTTGAACTCTTCTGAGGTTAAACTTTGATTTTTTTGTTGCCTAAAAATGAATATACTGTAAACCATGAACCCTAATGAGGACACACATCGTTCCAACTCCTTCCTGTTGTTTTAAAGATTAAAAACATAGCACACAGTTGAAATAATCCATAGCTTTACATTTTTTAAATCATAAATGCAGATTTATTTATTTAAATATTTATTCATATTGAGACCCAGTTAAATGTTCCCTCATTTAGGGTTTATTACTTTTTTCTAGCACTGTAGAAGCGACATTAAAACTTTGTATTTCAGAGATGGCTTTTTATAGTTCTAGTAACTGTGGAGGCTGTTAACTCTTGAAAAAAAAAAAGTGTACAAAAACCCCATAATATTTATTTAAAACCATATCCTACCTTTTTAAAAAGATGGATTAATTGTAATTATGTCTGAGTGCGTATAATCCTTAAATATATCTTATTTTTGAGAAAGCGAGCTTATGATGAACACTACTATTGACTTTTGTTGTTTCTATTATACCACTTGTCTAAGAACCTTTTGAATCTCATATAAAAAGCATTAGCTGAATTTATTGTGCTCAACTCACACAATTTCTGAACTTTGCACAGAGAAAAATAATACAGATAAAAGGTACCAAAGACTGTAGAGTCTGAAAATGAGAGTTGGGATTTGAATGGCTGTTGAAAAAAGCAGCAAACTTAAACTTAATTTTGCCAGATTATGATTAGAATAGTTCATATTACAGAATTTGTCATTTCCAGTATGTATGGACTGCACGATATTTGGAAAAAAAAGAATGTTGCGTACATATATATTACAATACGAATTTAATTTCATACGTCTGCATAAAACAAGCAAATTTGCAAGCATAGATGGATGCAGTAGAACAAAGAAACTTTTTTTTATTGTTGTTTTATAGTTTTCTGTGGAGTGTAAGAACAAACCTTTATCAAGTAACATTGTATTGTCTTCATTGTATAAATAAATAAAATGAAATATTCATTAAATCTCTAAACTTTAGAATTTCTTGCTTAAAATTTGCTTGATATATTTAGTCAAAGTTCCATAAAACACGTCTAAATGAAAGTCTTTCACTCTGTTTTGGTTTTGCGATGACTCCACAAATCACGTTCTGAAATGTGTTTCTTACTTCCTAGTCATTGTAATCACGACTCAACATTGCAGGTTCTGCGATATCAATTTTAAAACAAGTGTACTTGTGCTTAATGTGGTCCATCATGTGTTTGTACAGCGTATGTATATGAGTTTTGGTCAAATATGACATCTCATTTTGGATTTTGAATTAAATACAATTTACAAAAGTAATGTTGTATACTCAAATGTTTATTAGATGCAAGTTTTTAACCTTAATGCTTGTGTTTTGAAAAAATATGAAAATCAAATCAAAAATCAAACTTTTTCGGTATAACAAATGGGTAATTATGTTTTAAAATAAAGTAATATACATAATTTGACAAGTACTAAATGAAATGTGTAAATGAGCATGCTATTATCATTACTATTATTAAATTAATACAAATTGCTAAAGATTTCTTGCTGACAGATGGGCAAAAGGCTATGTATAAACATTTAAAATGACTGTAATTATTATTTTGGGCTGCACTTTGATCCTTAGAGTCTTTTAAAATGTCATTAAATGTTGAGTTAAATATGACTGACAATATTTTTGGATATGTAAACCTCTTTTTTTCATCTTTGACCCATATACTTACTTCAAGGGCATAGAAACGGTTTGTAAGATGTAGCAGCGACACATTAAGCCATTGAAAAGTTATAATTATCTCTCAAAAACAAGTGGAAATTTCTGAAAATGTCATAATGATTGCAACACCCCTGCCTTCACAGAGCGTATCAGCGAAACATACAAGAGTGCTTTTTGTCTGCTGTCACCATTTTTTCCTGCCTCTTCTGTGGTTATCTCCTGACCTTCACTGTGTTTCGTGTTTTTATTCCACAGAGGGTTTGGCTTCATCACGTTTGCAGATGTTTCCAGTGTAGATAAAGTCTTAGCTCAACCACACCACGAATTAGACTCCAAGACGGTATGTATCACTTCATAACGTTTGGTTCCTGTAACCGTGAGAATAGAGTGTGCGCGCATTGAAACAGATGTCATTCAGATGAAGTTCTTTCCCACAGAGTTTTTCATTTCCTTTCTCATCTCTGTTTATTTCCTGTGTCTTTATTAAATTGTTGCTTTTTCATAGGCTAGAGTGGACTGAGTTTTACGCACTTGCATATCAGGGATTAACAGCATGGACAGCCTAAGGGCAGTGTGCAAGATATTGGAAGAGATGTAAACAAACATTTGGATTTAATTTAGTGATAGTACATGGATAATCAGAATTTCAAGAATGATTTGTGATGATCTAAAAATGTCAGCAAGGCAAGTTAAAGGGATAGTTCACCCAAAACTGATAAATCTGTCATTTACTCTCCATTCACTTTGTCAAAAAACCTGTTGATGTTTTTTTTTCTGTGCTGTTAATGATGTCATAAATACAGTATTATTGCTGTAATTGATTTACAGTAGGCAACACGATAGTTCAGTGGTTAGCATTGTCGCCTCCTAGCAAAAAGAGTCCCGGCTGGGCCAGTTGGCATTTCCGTGTGGAGTTTGCATGTTTTCCCTGTGTTGGTGTGGATTTCCTCTGTGTGTTTCGGTTTCCCCCACAGTCCAAAGACATGCAATGCAGGTGAATTGAATAAACTAAATTAGCCATCGTGTATGTGTGTGAATGTGTGTATGGATGTTTCCCAGTACTGGGTTAAAGCCAGAAGGGCATCCGCTGTGTAAAACATATACTTGATAAGTTGGCGGTTCATTCCACTGTGGTGATCGCTCTTATCGGCGCCGTTATTTGTAACTTTAAATGGGTTTGCAAACCTGTGTACTCTTCATGTACAGCTTTTTCCTCAGACTTCCGCCGTTTGCAGTTCCCGCGGTCACAAAAGCCACCCGTCATCCCACATCCCGGGTTGTGTGCGCACGTCCCTCCATTTGGAAATAATGAACTTGCACGACCCTACATTAGTTAATAGCCTCAGAAGAACCGTCAGAAGAAATGTCAAAATTAAGAGTTTTTCCTTAAACCAAACTAAATAATCTGCCAGTGGGAATAATCTGCCAAAGTGAAATGTTTTTTTTTTTCGCTTTGAAATTTAGATTTTGAGACTAGAATGAAAATAAAAATTATAAGAATTAATTTTTTTGCATTAATCATATAAATTTAATACAATTTTTTAGCTTTTGTCAACTATAATTCAGACTCAGCATTGCATATCTTTGATGTGACTATTGTCGATGCGCACATTGCGATATCGATGCTGAAACGAAACATTGTGCAACCCTAGTTTGAAACCACTTGGGGGTAAATAAATTGTAAATGTTCATTTTTGGGTGAACTGTCCCTTTAAGTTGGCATCTATGTAGATGGTGTTTAGACTGACATTCAATCAAGAATTCAATCAAGCCAAAATCTGTGGAAAAAAAACTCAAAGGTAAGTTTTATAAACTGATCCAATCTCATCCTGAACTGAAAGGACACACTCGGATTTCCCCTTTCTTTCCGGGCATGTACTTCCCACCCACATGGATTTGATGTTTCATTTTGCACGTCTTCATATATTGAACTGTCATTCTGTACTAGATTTAATTTAAACTCTGTTCGCTCAGCTCACTTTTTGTATTTTTTTTCAGTTGTGTACAGATTTAAAATCAAACTATGCTGTTTAAAAAAAAAAAAAAAAAAGACCCCTAGAGGTGATGAAAATGTGAACATTCGTAATGGAAATATATAGTTACATCAGTCAGTTTGCTGGCATTCTGAAAATGACACTTTTTGTTGATTTCTTTAGTATGTTTAGTTTAAATTTAAAAAAAGAAACTTAAATGTCAGACAAACTGCGCCGAACACCTGGAGCGACTACACCACACGCTGTCTTCATTCTCCCAGTCTTCTGTGCTCCAGAAACACTCGCGTGTCTAACGCTGTCTGTAAATCTGACGGTAATGAATAATTACGACTGGCAGTGAGGTTTCAGGGCTGTGCTGTGTGTCGCTCGTATTCAGCTGAAATCAGATTTCTGTGAGCTTTTTATCGCAGTAGGGGGTTGTTATCTCGTCTTCTGCAATCAGTGCTGAGTTTTGTACAGTGTACAAGAACAGTAAACACTTTGAGTGATGTCTTTTTGAAGAGGAACTTTTGGGAGAGGATGCGTGTACCAGGCATTTTTGAAAAATCATAGGCTTAAAACTCTGTGAACTGTCTAGTAAGATGGCATTCTAGGAACTTCTGCCACAGTGAGACACACTGAGCTGTTTTGGAGGAGTTTGGGTAAAAGCTAGTTCAGGTTTTTTGTTTTTGTAAGAAATGGGTCTCACTAGTCCACTTCACATCTAGCATTAAAGGGATGGTTCACATCAAAAGGTACATTTGCTCTGTGTACCTACCCTCAGGCCATCTAAGATGTAGGTGACTTTCTTTTTCAGTGAATCATTAAATATATGTAGATGAAATCAAAGCTCTTGGTGATTCAAAAATGCAGTCTTAAAGGAACTTTTTTGGAAATAGGCAAATTTTATAAGTCACTTTAAGTAAAACAAGAGTTATTGCCAGCCCTACAGGATAATAAAACAACTTCTAATTTTCTGCCAGTTTTGACACAAAATGTAACTAAAGAAGAATCCAGCTTTTAAATAGAAAAATTATTTGAAAGCCTTTATTTTAAATTAAGCGAGATGCTATTGGTCTTATCCGCTTCAATCATGTATGCTAAGCTAAAAGTGCGACTGCCAGACTCAAAGGCAGCATCCGAAATTGCCTACTATTCAGTAGGTACTTGAATTTAAATATGCTACTCCACTGTTAAAAACGTATGTTCTATACCAGGGGTGTCCAAACTTGGTGCTGGAAGGCCAGTGTCCTGGAGAGTTTAGCTTTAAACCTAATCAAACGCACCTAATCTACCAAATCAAGCTTTTACTAGATATACTAGAAACTTATTGGCAGGTGTATTGAAGCAAGTTGGAGGTAAACTTAGCAGGACCAAGTTTGGACACCACTGTTCTGTAAAGTATAAATGTGAGAAGTATGAATGGAACTAGGATGTACTACATCCACCATTTTGTCATGATCACTTGAACTACTCATGTCAGTTGCATCATGGGATAGCATAGCGTGCATCAGATGCGTACTTCAAAATCTCCCCAGAAGTAGTAGGTAAGCAAGGTACTTCTCGACTTTTGTTTTTCGAATTCTATAAATACTACTCGTCTCGCTTACTGTTTTTAGTGTACTATATAGTATGGTAGTTTGCGTTTTTTTTTTTTTTTTTCTCCCAGATGCAGCCCAAGATTGAATCCTAACTGCTGAACTCTAGGGGAGTTCAATTTAGAAAAAAAAAAAAGTGTTCCTATAAATCTTTAATGGCCTGAGGTTCAAATTTTTAAGGATGCGGCAAATTTTCTGACGAAAAAAAAAAAGTTTTTTAGCTGAAAGGGGAAACATTGCCAAAAATGAGCTGGGAAGAAAAGGTTAAGCTGCATCACATTGACCGGTGCACTGGTTTCACTCTCCTTTCACATGTAGTCACTGGGCGATGTGAAGAATCTTTCACACTGGACGAGGAAATCTCTGCGCTATGAAACCCATTCATTTCAATGCGCTATGAAAAGGCCGTTTAGTTGCTCCATTGACCAAAGTGCAAGAGCAACAGAGTTTGGTCAAAGTTCAAATTAACTTAATATTCTTCTCTGTCGATATTCCAATCATGAAATTATTCCCATCATATACTTATCAATGGATGAAGTGTACATGCTCACCAAAATGGAAAGTGCACTCAATTAACATGCTGACAGGACATTTATTTATGGTATACTTGGTTCTGCTGCTTGCAATCGGACTACTGTGCTGTCATGACAATGCTGGTAAAATAACACCTCTCCCACTCATTTACTGTCAAAAAAATTTGTTTTTTTTTATTGGCTTTGTGTTTTTAAAAAAAAAATCAGTACAATCTTAAGCAAAATGATTAAAAACAATTGTTTAGTTAAACTTTCTCTAAGATTTATGAATAAATAATTTGGTGCAACAGAGCTTATTGAGAACTTGGTCTTAGATGCATCTCCTGTGATTTGGCATTTAAAGAAAAATGAAAAACTTTGACCATTTTTTTATGGTTGAGTAAGTTTACTTGTATTTTGTGTAAATGTTATATAATTGGTTGTGCTTTTGGTCCTCTTACACTGGTATTTAACATTGTCCACTTGTGATCAGATGCGCCAAAAAAGATGTTAACACCAGATTTAAACGAGGCCACTATCTGAAAGCAATAAAAGGCTACTAACACATTAAATTGTTACTGCTGAGATGGGAGAAGCTCAGTAATTGCTTCATCTTGAGATACACAGGACTTTATTTACACAACGTATGCTCGAGTCTAAATTACATATTGGCTTAATAACTGCTGTCTGCTGTTTTATTTAGATTATCACTAGGTTTTAAGATCTATATTTTTTTAATGTCTGTTATTAGATTGTCTGGCTGAATGGCTGTGACCACAGCTGTTTTGACTGATCTAGCACCAGCAGTGTTAGCATAACCTCTGTTTGTACTAATAGGACTAATAAGTGATGACCTCTGAGGTTTCCATAAATGCAGCGTATCGATTTGATTGGAAATCAGACAACTGGATCATTTGTGAATGAATAAACTCAAAACCCTGAGCCTTTATTTATAGACCTGGTAAACCCTCAAATAGCATTCAGTTTATCTGTACATTAATCAGAATGGGATGTTTGCTCTCAGGCTGTAGAGGAAAAAATAGGCTCCTAATTTCTTCTGATTTGAAATTCAAAGCGTAATATTGTTTCTGCTCACATAGGCTTGTTTCTATGGAGTAATTGAGGTTGAATTGGTTAAGCCTCAGGCTAATTGCTAAAACGAATCGCTACATGAAATTCATCACCGAGAAGGTTTCCATACCCAGGTGTTACAAAATTCATCTCTCTAATTGACCTGATTTGGGGAGATAACAATCACAGCTCAGTCAAATGGAATTATGGGAGAAAAAAAGGTGAAGTTCAGTGAACATCAGTGTGTCATTTCAGAGAATAATTATGCTCCTGGCATCCTAGCGAAAGAACACATCTATATTTTAGATGGCCAATATATTCATATAAACAACACTCGTGTAGAATAAGCAGAGAAATGACTCCTTGTCCAGCAAAACAGTGTGTGTGTGTTTTATTTAGAAAGACTCTGTGTCTGTAATGATACACACTTATATGCTGCAAAGCCCTCAGGCAAACGTTCAAATCTACACTAGGAGTTTTGCTACAATCTGAAGTCTTTGCCTTGCTGAACATGGACAAGTAATTTCCTGCAAGAGCCCAATTTCGATCTGTTTATGTTTTTCCTCTTGACTACGTCTGGCTGTATGAGATTGTTCGAAACTCCTCTTTATAAGAGGCTGTATTAAGGCGAAGGCAAGACAGTGTGACACTGGAGCATGAAATAGTTTCTCTGATAATTCTTTCTGTCTGCACACCTTCAGCAGATGGAGCACAAACTTAAATTAACAAGATGACAAGCCAAAGAGTTAATGTCATCCTTCTAGTGTGGCCCATCCATGCTCGTAATTTTTCATTCCAAAGCTCGATGGCGTTGATTATTTCTCAAAGTGTGAAAGGCTTTATTGTAATGAATTTAGCTCTGGGTAACTGCATTCAAATATGACTTTGCTTTTTTTCCCCATCATCATCATCATTCTTTCTTTCTCTGTTTGTGCACAGATTGATCCTAAGGTCGCCTTTCCTCGACGTGCTCAACCCAAGGTCAGACTTTCCAAACTTTTGCTGACGCTTTTGCTTTTCAAATGTTTTGTTTTGTGCTGCAGACCTATGCATTGTAGTGCGGTCAGTGATGCGTGTGTCCATCTGAAGTGATTTGCAGGGATTTGTGGGTAGTGCTCTTGATTAAGTGTCAGTGTGTTGGTCTCTTTTGTGCTAATGCAGTTCTTCCTCTTTGCTCTGTAAATTGGTCTGAAGCTCAGAGTGTCCGCCCAAGTGCTGCTGTCCACTCTGCCAGGTTCCTTCTTTTTTGTCCCACAACAAACACAGATCGATAATGGATTTTTTTTTCTTTTTTCTTGGTTTTGAGTGCCTCAGATGACTTTTTTTCTTAGCTGAATGGCTCAGGTTTCAGACAGGAGGAAAGTGCTCTGATCCAGGGCATGTCTTCGAAATCTGTTGGCATGCATTTCCAAAATTTCCAGACAGTTCTTTCCCCTTCCTTATTTGCCAGTTTTGGTCTCTTAACCTTTTCTTTTGCAACATCAAGAACGGCTCAGACGTTCCCCCCACCTCCTCCGGTCCCTGGATTCCTGTTGAAACAAAGAAAATACATTTTGCTCCAAGGCAGCACTGTTATTTTTTTTTTAACGTTTGTTTTTTTTGTTGGACCCCCTAAACAATATGAACTCCCCTGCAGACGGCAGGTTATGAGAACTGAATTGTCAATTTCAGGGAGACACGGACAGGTTTCTCTCTCTCTCTTGTACCATTTGCAGTGTCTTTTTCTTATAACACAAAGGCAGATAAAGGCTAATACACTTCTGTAGTGTTATTTTCTAAGCAAACATAAAAAAGCAAAGTGCATAACTGCAGAAAGAACTGTATTTATTTTAGTGTGAAGCAGAGAACATGAATTTTAAGGGATCTTAAGGCAATAGGATTAAGGCAGATCTATTGGCAATGCACTGGCTTTTTTTTTTTTTGTATGTAAAATTGATTTTAGACCGCAAGCAGTCAGCTAATCGTTCTTGTCACACATCTTGCCTGCACTCTGCAGAAACGGTGGTGCCTGTGTTTATTTCTCAGTGTGAGGTCCATGTCCGCTGGAGAACAAGAGAATTTTTTGTGCCATGATTGTGGCTCTTATGTTGTTTATGGACTCTTTGTACATGTTCCGTGTTATTGGAGATTGAAGTTTGTATGGAGGTTTGGAGAAATGTCATCTGTGTCGTTTGTATTAGAGTTACGAAAAGGTGTGGTGGCTTTAATGAGTCTTAGGCAGTGGACTTCTCCTTTGGGTCATCCGCTTTCAGATAGGTTTTTCGTAATTGTCATGTCTGAGGCTACATTTTATTAGAAAAAAAAAAAAAATCACATTCACGTGACATTTACAAAAACAGTGCACATTTGTAGATCCACAAAATTGCTGTATTCCAAAAGTGCTGTGTTAAATATGCCAGGCCAATATTTGGCGCTGTTACCTTGTTAGCAAACAGCACCTGTATTGAAGTGACGTTTTGCCATTGGTGGCTCAGAGCTGGTGTGTATGTTTTCTAAACATGTAATATTCCAGCCTGATCTCACGAGAAAACGTAGGTATTTTATGTTTTGCCAGTTTAGTTGCTAATTCGTACCAGTTCAGTCGTACGAAATTATACGATTTTAAAATGAAGGTTTGGCACCTAACCCCACCCGTAAACCCAACCGTCATTGGGGCATGAGCAAATCGTACTAAATTGTACATATTAGATTGTACGAATTCATACGAATTAGCCACAAAATAAAGTTACGAATTGCCGTGAGATTGTGTTGAATATTCGTATACATGACATTGTCATTTTTAAAGACTCTTGTTTTCAAATGTTTACATTAGGGGTTGTGCAGATTAGTTGATTTGGTTGACATTGATGCTCTGCCATGACGCTTTTTGATTGACGTCGACTAGTTGTGCTGTGCAGGTCACATGGTTCTGCCATGAACCATGACAGGGGTGTAACATGAAGGATGCGTAACTTGTAGTAGAGGCGTAACTTGAAGTTATCGAGAGATGTGAAAACTAAGTTGTCTTATAATCTTAAACCCAACTGCCATTATTATTTACGTGTACACCATCCCCAAGCCCAATTGTCACAGTTATTAACTTGTACACCTACCACAATCTTAAAACCAACCACCATCATTATTAACGTATACACCTTCTCCAACCCCAAACCCAACCTTCACAGGTATTAACTTGTACACCTTCCACAATCTTAAACCCAACCACCATCATTATTAACGTGTACACCTCCAAAAACAGTTATTAACATGCACACCTAAAACAATTTCTTAATCCAACCTTCATACTTATCAACGTTTACTCCTACTTTACTGTACAGCCATGAGTTTTGGAGGATTTCGTACTGGACTCACTCATCCATTGTAGCTGTTATTTGCAACTGTCATGACAAAATGGATGAAGTCAGCAAATAGAGTTGCTAAATGAATGAATTTAATATATCAAATGAATAGGTTGTGGATAAATTTGGAGTAAATGCATGAAAAAATTTGCTGAAAATGTTCTCTAAGTATTTCCGCCATCTTGCCAACAACATCTCGTGTGACATCTCGCTTTGTTCAATGGGATCTCAATAACTGCAAGTTACACCTCTACTACAAGTTGAACCCCCTTCATGTTAAGCCCGTCTTGCAGTGCGCAGACAGATAAACTTGCTTACACCCAAATATAGGTTCACTGCCCTCAGATAATTCAAATTAATTACATTTTTTTTTATTTTTGTCAGCATCAATTCACATAAACTTTGGGTGAACTTTAAATCATCAAACAGGTGTCAGCCAGTTAGATTGCTCCATGCATCTGCTCTAGAGCATTTATTAGCTTATATGTTTATGCAACATTGTAAAAGTATTGTGATTGGCTTTTGCCCTCTGCAAATTGTAGATGCTGATGTGTTTCAAAATTTGCAGAAACTGTGAAGTGTGCCGTGAACTTCATAGCATGTTTAAATATCATCCCAGGTGAACGTGGTAAAGATATACGCAGTAAGGAGACATCTGAAAACCAAGATGAGCCAGTAACCACGAAAAAATTTTGGCTCGCATCATCCTTGCGTTAAAGCGTTAAATATATGAGCAGAACTTTGACAGTAGCCATCCAAAGATGCAAATTAAATTTATGCACAAAACTGGAATATCGCATAAAACATTTGCGAATAAAACACCGATTTGATGCAACGAGTGTAAGAGAACAAAAACGTCACTTACTGATAAATTTCCGCCAAGTATCAAAAGAAAAATGGATGTTGTTGAGGATTTGTTATCAAATGATCTGTTAAAAGCACGTGACTTTTTTTATTTTATTTTATTTCGTAAATGCGTTTCCATCGTAGTTTATGCACATTTTTTCTCATCGGATAAAGTTTATCCTACTCAATTGTGTGTATAATGTTTTTTTTTTTTTCCTCTGCATTTTTAAAATTTAGATGCATCTTATAACATTTTACAACTTATAACAACACTGTAATTGTGATAATACTTTGGGTTTCATATTTACATTTATTGTAAATAAATGTACAAAAGTATATTTACTTTTTTATCCTACAATACTTTTTGTTGTGTTACTATTTAAATGTGTTCCTTTTTTGCTCTGACAATGTAGCTGTTTTCTATGGTACTGTTTACTTTGTTATTTGCACAACAGCACAAAGTACTGTGTATAGTGTTCAGCAGGAAAAAAACTGTACTGTCAAAGATTTGTTTTTATGAATTGAAATGCTGTGCTACTTAGTTTTAAGCAGAAGGAAAACCAGTACTGTATTTTATTTGTCAGATTTTGTGCAGCTGTTATTTTTTTGCAGCTTTGTAAACAGGGAGGGAAACCCCTGTGTTTGAATTAAATTTTGCTCAAAATGTTTAATAAAGTTTTAATACGGTGTGATATTATAAAATGTGATATTTTGCCCATATCCCCTAGCCTTACTCCTTTCCTCCTCATTCCCGTCTATGAGGAGCTGAACTTCGTATCAGTGCATGAGAAAGATCGTGTTCGCTCCGCGCTCAACTAAAGTGTTTTTTTTTATATATATATAATTTTTAATATATATAATTTTTGTCTATGCATTGCGCAACACAACGAATTAATTATGAAATTCGTTGCCAATGCTTTTAGTAATCGGATTTTTATCGTTTTAATTGATTCGTTGTTGCAGCCCTAGTTTGCAATATTCCAAAATGTGCATAAAAGTAGGTGGATGGAAACGCAACTAGTGAGACCGCTTTAGGCTGTCTTTATGCGTTATGTTATTATGAAATACTTTGCCATAAATTGGTGTGCTTTGTGCTGATAATGTATACATTATTTTTGCACTAAAAATATTTGTTATTGTTACATTCGTAGTAGAATGTGCAGTGTTTAGTGTGATGACTGCCATAATTTTGCACTAAAATTATCAGATTTTTGCATTTTTCAGTCCAAAATGCTGTTGTCATGTAAACAAACAGGCAAAACGCATTAAAAAGAAAATCCTGTTTTTGGCTGAAAACTTTATTTAACAGCTCCCGAGAATGTCTACATAAGATGCAAGACTGTTCATTCTGTCTTTTACTGCAAACATTAGTCTTCAAAATGGGTTGACCGTTGAGTGACCGTTTTCTCCTGAGAATTTTCCCAGCCAACATTTGTTGACGGCGTTGTGTCACACTGCGATATCACAACAAATCATGGCGTGTCCCAACATGATTTTAATTGCCAGTGGGACTGTAGCCTCTTGTGTCGTTAAAAGAACTTTGAAAGCTTGTTATGAAAATGGAAGCTAGTCTGGAGTCTCTTCAGAAGAGGTGACCAGCGTGATTAACGGTTTCCTGTCTGCCTCATTAGCATGTGCTGAGAACTGCCACTCAGCTTTAAGTTGTCCCTGATTACTAGAACTTGTGTGCGCTGGCTGTAGAAGACGACCGTTTAGAAGTGCTTCCATTTTTAAGGTCATTTCTGGCTTTAAAAAGAATAGAGGTTCAGCAAAGTTCAGTGTTTCCTATGGGGTATG